GGCGGGAGCTGTGGGACGTGTTGGGGCCGCCCGCGCCGGGGTTTGCGAGGGCAGCGAGTGGCGGGGTTTGCGTCCCGCCGCCCTCGCTCCCTGTCTCACCGGCTGCACGAAAGCCTAAAGCTGGGAGCTGTCCCAAAAGCTTCGTGTTTCAGTGCGTGGAGTATCTTGTAATTGGACCGTATAATAAGTCGACCATGTTCGTTAATCCCTGTTGGTGGCAGTGTGAGGTAACTGTGGTTACCATTTAGGAGTTTAGCGTTCAGGATCCCGATGTGGCAGTTCCTTATTCCCGCATCCCCTTGGGACAGAGCTCTGAGGCTGACTTAAAGCTGTTTGGGTACCAGTCGCTATGATGAGCCATATCCTATTTACATTTTTTGTTTTTAATGTAGGCATTACTTTGATTTCTGTAGACTACTTGTAGTGTTCTTGTCAAACATGGTCACGCTTAAGTCACTGATGGATGATTTCGGCCAAAGCTGAGAATGCATTTCTGATCCTAAGTTTCGTTCTCTAACCCTGTGTTTTGAACACCGGGTTACCAAGTTAGAACGGATTTGTGCTTGGTTTGCATCACTAGAGATCCTGGGAGTGCTGGCCGCTTCTTTATTTGCAACATTGAATGCAGAAGGGTGTAATAGTGACAGAAGCCTAAAGAAAAGAGTGCAAAGAAGAGCAAAAGAGCAAAGGTCCTAAGCAAAGTATAAGGGTTTACCATGCAAACTTATCATTGCTGTGCTTGTGGTGTTAAACAAAACCAGAGTGGAATTGAGACAACGTAAGGATCCTGTCCAGCAGTGACATCTAAGGCTAACTTGCAGGTTTGGGGCCTTTCAAAAGCTGAGGTTATGTTATGTATAATCTAGAAAATATGTTCAGGGTATTGCTGTTATTAGGACTGCTGTAGTAGTGAACTCTGGATGTTATAAGGACACCATTTCTGGTCGCGGTACCTACTGTAACCGTAGTGGTCAGATGCAACAAGCATGGCTAATTCAGCTGTGATGTGACTTACTCTTTACTTGAGTCATCTCTTTGATTTTTTTCAGTTCTCTTTAACTGAAAGTTAAAGTCTAAACTGCCTGTGCTATTCCACTGTTGGAACATAAGGATAAAGAAAACATTAATGTGGTTGCCAAGTATCATAGAAGTTTTATTTTGATCTCTTATTCCAATTAGTGAATTTACGTTTAAGCTCTGAAAAATGTGTTCTGTGTGTGGAGTAAACATTGTGGATTTCACTCATTAATAATATGAACTCATTGGTATTGAACTTTCATAACAAAATTTGCACAAATTTGTACAAAAATGTAAACTTTGTACAAGAATAAAATGTTTATTCCTTGCTTTAACTCTGAAAGGTTTGTTCATCTCAGTTACAGGATTGTAGTCCAAAAGGTTGAAAATACAAAAGTTCAGCTGCCAGGTCAAAACCTGTATTGTCAATGCGTTTGTTCATTAAGTTTTGCATCTACTCTTATCTTATTACAAAAATGCATAGGCTGTACTGATACAGAAATCAGAAATGAGGTTTTTGGCAGAAACACTGTAAGAAAGCGTATATTTGCTTATTTTAGGGCATGATATCCACTTCCATGATAAGAAGATTGCTTTGCTGGAGGCTGGTCCTAGGAAAGAGTATGATCGTGTGCCAGAGCGTTACAGTAACAGGGTCAGTTCCATCTCGCCGGGATCGGCAACCCTTCTAAGCAGTAAGTGTGATTTCTACTGCTCGCATTTGTGACAATATATTTCAGCTGTTTTTATTTTGTTTAAACAAAACGTCTTTGAGCACATGCTGCCTTCATCCTAAACTCAATGGAATTATTTGCCTTTGTCTCTCAGTATGTTGAATTGAGGTGATTAAATCAGGCTTCTCTTGGTAACAGGGATCTGCGTTCTGGTACCTTGGTCTGATTTGTTATGTAAATATTTGTGACATTCGGCTAGTGGAAGGTTGTGAGGTGCTCTCTACAGCATCTACAATATTCTGTTCACAAAAGCAGCACATACTTAGTGCTCTGTAGTCTGGTAACTCATTTCTCCTTAATTTTAAAGACAGATTTGAGCCTTGATTCCTTATGGAGAAAGAAATGCTCTGAACAATGATGGCTGTGCGTTTCTGCATCTGTTTTATTACTCAGTGACAGGACAGTGAGAGTTGACAGTTAAGTTGCATGGAAAGCTCTTGTTTCTTTTCTGCTGGCTTGCATTAGCAGTAAAATGTGATGCTGGAGCTGTGAAAGTATTGAGGCAGACCTGGCCCTGTCTAGGGATGGTGCAAGCGGAGTCTGGGCATTGACAGAGTCACCAAGGGAGGAGGAGGAGAGTGTGGCGTCAGCTTCGGTTTTGTTTGGGTCTCAATGTCACATGTGAACCTGTACCTCCGTGCATTTGTGTCCTTCTCTTTTAGGTTTTGGTGCCTGGGATCATGTCTGCAGCCTGAGACTCAAACCGTTCCGGCGAATGCAGGTGCCTTGCTTAGGGCTGCAAATATACTACGTGTCTGTCTACTCTAAATTCTCAGGAGTCCTTTCATTAATGATCCAAATTTGTTTCTTCTCCTGTGGCAAAGGGCAGGTCATGCTTATGATGATTCCTGTTACTTTTTTTTGGGTAGCAGTCTACTCAGAAATACCCGTCCTCAGAGTCTTGATGTTACAGGATAAAAGATTGATTCCTTATGGAAGCTGTAGATATTGAGGCGTGGGTACTAGTCAGGAAAGACAGAAATAAAGGTAAATGTATGTATTGGTTGTGGCTGGGATAGAGTTAATTTTCTTCATGGTAGCTTGTATGGTGCTATGTTATGGATTTGTGATGAAAGCTGTTGATGACACAGGTGTGTATTAGCTACTGCTGAGCAGTGCTTACACAGTGCTAAGGCCCTTCCTGCTCCTCACACTGCCCCGTCAGTGGGGAGCCCGGGGGTGCACAAGAAGCTGGGAGGGGACACAGCCAGGACAGCTGGCCCCAGCTGACCCCAGGGATGTCCCACGCCATATGATGTTGTGCTCAGCAATAAAAGCTGGGGAAAGGAGGAGAAAGGGGGGGGCATTCAGTTATGGTGTTTGCCTTCCCAAGTAACCATTGCGCATGATCAAGCCCTGCTTTCCTGGAAACGGCTAA